TATGTTTTTTTGTAATAGAGATTGAACTCAGGGGTGCTTGACCATTGAGTCACATCCCCAACCCTTTTTAAATTTTGAGACAGGGTCTTACAGAGTTGCTGAGGCTAACTTTGAAGTTGTGATGCTCTTGCTTCCATCTCCCAAACTGCTGGGATTTCAGGTGTGCACCACTGCACTGGCTTCAATGTTTTTATTAGTGCATTATAGTTATACGTTACTGTGGGGTTCGTTTTGACACAATCATACATGCATAGAATGTAATTTTCTCCATTTCAGTCCATGCTTCCTCTTTTCCTCCCTGGCCCTGTTCCCTTTCCTCAACTCTCTGGCCATCTTTCTATTTGTTATTTTCTTCATTCTTTACTTCTCTTTAGATTGGCTTTCTTTGATTTTCTATCCTCATGGTGAAAGTTGGTTGTCCCAAAGAATTTACATGTTCTCCCTTACGTTAAACAGCAAAGTCTGTATTCCCCTAACACAACCCTGAGAAAAAGAATCTGGTTAAGTCATTGAAGTTGGCTGTCTCCCTGGTGGATATCTTTACTGTGACTGAGAGGGTGGTATCTCAGGGTATAAGCATGACTACTGGAGTCTACCATATGGTTGGGACCAGTTCTTACATAAAGAGAGGGTTTCGTAAACTGGGAAGTTTCTTGAAAGGAATCTGCCACATTAAGTACCAAGGAATGTCTTGAGTGCTTAAATGAGGAGTTACTTGGACAAATGGAGAGACTGAGAGCAGGAGATTTGTTAATGCTAAGCCTATAAATGCCATACTCAGCTTTAGGAAACTACATGTATAACCATAAGCAGCCACAAGATTAGGTGATGAATGGAGAATTCCTTCAGAATGGTTTTGCCAATATTATACTAAGTTATGTATCTCAGAATTTTGGCCCTACTTTTATATCAGGAGATTTCTGACTAGTATCTTGGCAACTGCTAGTCATATATTATAGAAGAGGTGCCTAATGACTTCAATTTATATGTTTTAAAGCATTATGTATCATTGCTTTGACTAGAGAGCCATCTAACCTATCAGGTAGGTTCTCAAGAAATATCATGATATCACTGGAATATATAGCTTCTCAAGTACTTCCTGCGTCTTTGTGTTTCTTGTCTTTAGTTTCACAAATTAAAGACTTCAAAGTTAAATTTAAAACACCCATGAACTTTGGATTTTGTTTTGTAACTCTTGACCAACAAGAAATTATAACTTCAGGTACTTACAAGTAGAAAATAAATTAGTGCCTGCATTATGAAGCAATTTGGAGCCAGCAAGAATGTGGGATTATCTTCTGTAGATTTTTTGTTGACAGGATGTATTTTATGTCATGTGTAATGCTCTTTGTCTTAAGTAATTTTTCACAGGCAAATGACAATCTGTACAGTTTGTTTCCTTTTATAAAAATGGAAATATGGACTCATGGATATATGCTTAAAATATTTTGTCCAATTTGGAAGATATAGTGTATTATACAGTTATATTCTTTCTATGTATGTGTGTGTGTGTGTGTGTGTGTGTGTGTGTGTATGTGTGTGTGTCTATCTATACTAGGGTTTGAACCCAGGCATTGATTATGCAAAGCACACACACTACCACTAAACTACTCTCCCAGCCTCTAGTTTTATTTTAACGAGTCATTATGCTTGTGTTACAATTTCATAGTGAAAGATATAGTCTAATTTAGGCAAATTTCAAACAGTTTAGAAATAGGGGCTTTTTTATTCTTGTAGATATTTTAATATATGCCTTTACCAATATGGGTATCAAAACAAAAACATTACCTCATTTTTAAAGCAGCTAGTGGTAAATGGTATTAGGAAAAAGAGGCTAACACAATAAAACAAACATTGCAACTATTTAACCTATGGTAACTTTTATATGTATTATAGATTTTTGTACCAAGAACTAATTTGCAGGGTTCTTTCTACTTTGGAGACTCCAACTTGAGTACCACTATATATACATTAGGCTTCTTTTCCTTTTTTAAATTCAGCATTTCACTATTTCCTTTTGATTTACTAGTATGATACATGGGTGTGTTGGGGAAATGAAGAAATATAGTGTTTTAAGGAATGTTTAAGACTAACACCATTAGGCAGTTTTTGATGGATACTGTTTGAACAATGTAAAATAGTGGTAGTTTAGGAGTTCAGAAAGGGGAACAGATGACCTAGAATGGCCCATGAATAATTTGTTGAGGTGAAAATGTTAAAGGTGTCCTTAGAGAGTGTTTTTTTTTTTTTTATTTTGGGGTGTAGAGTAGGGGAGGGGATTTACTTAGGGGAGAGCATAATCTAGACCAGGCTTTCCAGAAATGAAGATGCCACATGTATTCAGAGAATAATTATGTAACTGAGTTTGATTGGAGTTTTGGCTTCATTTTGGGGAGAATAAGATACAATTGGAGATATATATTGAAGTGATGCAATGCATATCCTTGTGTGATGACAGCAGCGATATGTTAGGATTGTCAATCTGTTGATGGTGTTTGGGAAGGACTGGAGCTGTAGGAGATGGGAGTCAGAAAGTTAAATGAGGAAAACTACCTGAGTTGAACTAAATTAGCTGTTGCAGAATGGACCTGAAGCTGCATACGAATAGTTGAGAGTCATTAATAGACTGAGTGACTAACTCCTTAATGGGCACAAAGGATAAGAGAATGTATCAAAAGATGTTTCTGAAGTTTTAAACTCAGAGACAAGTGAGAAAATGAAACTACATAGATTAAAAATGATGGCAGAAGGAATTTCTGGTTGTACTGGAAAATGATTTAAATTTTAGGGAAGTTGATTTTATTAGTGGAATATATGAATATATCAAGCATGCAGTTACAAATGTGGGATTGAAGTTTGGAAGACAAATCGGGAATAGCTCACATAATGGTAAAGGAGACAATATTTGTGAAGACTGCTCTTCAAAGTTTGGGACCAAAATTCAACGGGGAGTTAAAATTGCAGATAGTGGATAAGGGTAAAAGTAGGAATTGTGTTTCTAGATAGAGAAGCCAGCGGATACAAATATACCAACAGTACTGCAAGGCAGTAATTCAGGGGACTTTATTGATGTGGAGAATAAGATCTTTAAAAAGTGATCTTAAAATAACTGGGTTTTGAGAATGTTGGTTAGTTATGCTCTTGTCAGTAACTGTTTTATTGTACAAGGTCATCTTTTGTGTTCTATGATATTAAGTATGTTAGAAGAATTACTTGGTATTGTATTTTCATGCCTGAGTAGAAACATCTTTCTGCTATGTTGATGTTAAAACAAACACTGGAATGAAACAGTACAGTTGTGGACATCTTTCTAGACTATATCAATTTGAAATTATTTTATAGTTTTTTTTTTTTTTTTTTTTTTTTTTTTTAGCTTTCCTGTGTTCACAGATTGCTGAAAATCTGAACTGTGGCACATCAGGTCTAAATCTACAACATAATTGTGTCCTTCAGTTGAATTGTTAGTAGAGACTCCACTTCTCCCTGACTGTTGAAAGTTTGGGTGACATATTAACAGGGATGGTGTTTGTCTTAATATTTTTTCATCAGTATGTTGAATAATACTTCAATGACTTCATAAATAATTTTTTAAAAAATTGACCTGTTAACATATCGTGTGTTTTCCCAATGCAATTTTTATTATACAGAGACTGAAATACATATAAACTGATGTTATTGATAGTTCATATAACCTTGGAACAAATAGAGTGTCATGGTTAACAGTATAGGCTTTGGAGTCAATTTAACCAGGTTGAAAGTCTGGCCTATTATTCTATAATTATAAGACATTAGACTGATTTCTGCATACCACTAATTCTGTTTCTTCATTTCCAAAATATTGATAAGAATTCTAATTTCACTTATTTGAGGTTCAAATAAGAGGTAATGTTTTAAAAATTTCTCATGTTTGCTAAGTTCTGAGGAATGTAAGTTTATGATAGGGACATAATTGCTTTAAAACTTATACTATCGTGTACATAGTATGCTTCATAAATCTTTGATAACAAGGGTTGAAGTAGACCTAAAACCTTTCTTGCATAAATAAAAAAATGAATAGTTAGATGGCACCTTCAGTCTCTGACAAACTTTTATTTAACTCATGCTTCTCCACCTCTGTCTTACTTGGGTATCTTAAAGTTTTAAGTGTGATAAAAGGATATGAAAGTGAGTTTACATGTTTTCTGCCCAAGGTAGATTCTAAGGAACAATGGTGTTTTCTCTTCTGGATTTGTTATGTTCTTTCACAATAGTGGGAACTCTTTAGAATCTGGTCTTAGATATTATATAAAAACTGATTCTAGCCCATACACCAACCTACTGCAAGTTGATTTGATAAACAGGAACTGTTGGCAGTAGTTGCTCTAAAACCTAGTTGCTTTTCTTCCCACAGTGAGCAGTAGTTCTGGACTAGTAAGAGTTTAGGACCTCTTAGCTTCCTTCAGCCTCTCTTCCTACCTCCTCTTGGTAGGTTTTTAGGAGGATTATGTACGATGCTGACAGAGTGAGGGGCAAGAACAGACTCTGGAATTAAAACATCAGAGACCACTTTGCAGCTCGTGAACCTTTCTTAGTCTATTTTCTTTGTCAATGCCCTGTGAACTTCCCTGATAAAATTTTGTAATTTCATTTACTATAAATGAAATAAGTAAATATTAATGAATTAGCACCTAGCCTGCAGCATTGTAAGCTCTCAGTAAATATTAAGACATTGCTTCTAAGGCTGCTGTAGTTCAGAATAATGAGGATTAAATTACAATTAAAGAATCATCACAGTTCCTGAAGAATAGTAGACACTAAATAAAATTGTTCTCTTTACCCCCATGTGCAAATGCCCATCCTTCCTTGTTACCTGTAAATAGTCAACAAGTAGATGACTTTCTGGCTAATGAATCTTTCATCAGATCTCCAATTAGAAAAATGGATAGCCACCTTAGTATACTTCTGAATGTCAAGGATGAGTTATAGGCATACAAATTACACTGTTTTATCTGGTTATACAGATGCTGTTGACTGAGTACTTGGATATGAAGAATACTCGCACTGCCTCTGAACCATCAGCTCAATTAAGCTATGCCAGTTCTGGACGAGAGTTTGCAGCCTTTTTTGCCAAGAAGAAACCTCAAAGACCGAAAAATTCCCTTTTCAAGTAAGTATGATGCCAGTAAGATAGCAAAGTATCTAGAAGAGTTCTATCCAAGTAAGATGACTTGCTATTTTACTGACAACCATTACTTTCTCTAACTGAAATTGAAGTATTTTATATGAAACAAATATTTGATTTTTTTTTTTTTTTTTTTTACCTTTCTTAGAAAAGAAGGGAAAGTGGCTGTTCCAGATTATGGTCACTGGACTATTTAGAACTCGTAATAAAAATTTCTTAAATTTGTTTCTGGAGCGTTTATATAAAATTACGGGAAATTAAAGGAAATGAAATATACCAGCTTTGAAAAAGCCCCCATGTGCCAAGAAATAGCCTTTTATAACTCTCTCTAGCAAAGCAGTGTTGGACATTATGAGGTTAGATGTTTAATGAAGGAACAGTCTGAAAAGTAGTTTGGTTTTTTAAAAAAAATATTTTTAGTTATACTTGGACATAATACCATTATTTTATTAATATATTTCATGTTGTGCTGAGGATCAAACATAGTGCCTCACACGTGCTAGGTGAACCCTATACTGCTGAGCCACAACCCCAACCCTGTTTTTTTTTTTTTTTTTGCAAAATAGTCAAGATTTATCTTTATTTCCTGAATTTAAATCTCTCATTTTCCCCTTTTACTTGTTACATTTGAGCAAAATATTTATCCATTCTAAAGCATCAATTTAATTTACCGAAAAAAATGTAAATGGTAAATGTATTTAATTACAGAATATAATTTAATGGGTTAAATAAAATATCTATAAAACTTTTATAAGCTTAACTCAAAAGATGCTAGTTTATATCCTAACTTAGTATTAATAAAACTGAATGAAGTTCAATGAAGATAAATTGCTTGGTTCTGGTCACACAGTTTATACACATATAAGCAAAATTTGGTTTTAGATTTTGATTGAATGGTATTACCTGAATATACATACCTTTTAAACCAAAGTATATGGTGCAAAATGAAATAATATTTTTTTTATTTTTTTCTGAAACACGTATCATAGATTTATTCATTCTATGACCATACAAATTGCCTTAAAAAAAAAAAAACGGATAGAGAACAACAAAAAAAAGGCTACCAGTGCCATTTTTCATTGGGTAATTTACTAGTAACCACTGAGCTTAATGAAGACAGGACTGGAATTCTTTATTTATTTTTTTTTAACTTCTCTATCTTCTACTTTTTTTCTTTTAATTAATTATTATTTTTTTTAATTAATATGTGACAGTAGAATGCATTTCGATTCTTATTACACATCCAAACGCCATTTTTTCATATCTCTGGTTGTACACAAAGTATATTCACACCAATTCGTGTCTCCATACCTGTAGTTTGGATAATAATGTCCATCACATTCTACCATCATTTCTAACTCCATGCTCCCTCCCTTCCCTTCCTACCCCTCTGCCCTATCTAGAGTTTGTCTATTCCTCCCATGCTCCCCCTCCCTACCCCACTATGAATCAGCCTCCTTATATCAGAGAAAACATTCGGCATTTGGTTTTT